CCAGAGCGCAAGATCTTGCGGGATCCTGCAGAGCCAGGGGTGCATTGACCCGGGCTTGCGTGCAGGATCATGCAGGATCCTGCAGGATCCCGCAGAGTTTGACTGACCTGGGTTTGCATTGACCCGGGTCGGTAGATTCCCGAAGCGTCGGATTCGAGCTAATGGGTCCATACAACGGGGGTCTCAAATTGTTCGCAATGGTTCGTGCAATCGTTCGTGCAGGATACGTGTGTCGAGCAATATGGTGAGTGCTTGCTGGGCGCAGTCGGCGCGGCACAGCAGAGCACTACCATGGCTTAGAACCACCCCTGGTCTGTAGCCGTGGTCGTGAAGAGTACTCCGAGTTTCTTAACAAGCGTCGGAGGCCCAGACAGCGCCAGAACCCCCCCATTCAAACTCGATCGTCGATCCTCGAACCTCGAACCTAGATTGTCGACGACGACGACCACGACGACCGCGACGACGACGACGACCACGACGACGACGATGAGGACGACGACGACGATCCTCCGCCCAGCCTCCCGGCGTGCCGGTCCAGCACGGCTCGTTGCACAGGCTGCTGAAGTTGGCGCCCCCGCTGGCCGCGCGCGCCATGCCTTCGGGGCCTCCGAGGAGGAGAAGGTACCCAGGAGGAGAGGAAGAAGAGACCCAGCGCCTCTCCGAGGAGGAGAAGGCACCCATAACCGCGAAGGCTCTTTTGTGTTGGTCCGCCCCCCCCCTCTTCTCTCGGCAGTTAATATCAGTGGATCTAAAGACTCCTGCTCCTCCTGCCTCCCTCCTTCTTGGGCAAGCTGCGAAGCACCAGCCTGTAGCGTACGTCCTCCCGCCCTCGTATTCCTTGTTTTTCTCCTCGTTGTTGCGCGGCGGGTGCCGCGAACAAAAAATACCCCGTAGCAGTCGGACCCGTGACAAATGATTACGTACCTCTTATTGGGGGGGTTCTAAAGACTTTTGAGGGTTACCCGTCGGTCGTTGAAAGTCAGGGCTCGAGCTAAACGGTGTTCGGACGATCTCGTGAACCAGTTTCGTGTTCCTTTCTTGTCGAAGCACAGGCAGAACGAACACATAAAGAAGAGCAGCGATAACAAAACGAAAGCGAGAAACACTGTTTAGCTCAAGCTCTGTTGAAAGTAGATATTTCTGAATGCCCAATGGTGTTCGGGCGATCTCGTGGACCATGTTCGGTTTCCTTTCTTGTCGAAGCACAGGCCGAACGAACACATCAAGAAGAAAAGCGAGAACACAGCGAAAACGAGAAGCACTGCTTAGCTCAAGCTCTGTTGAAAGTGGGTAGTTTCGATGGTGGACAGGACCCCCAGCCTGACACATCAATAAGTGAATTGTCCGCTTTCAGTTCTCAAGAGGGCGCCGCGGCCTTTATTTTCCAGGCTTGCGCCCGCCAGGTTTGGGCCCGAGGTCGTTTTCACGAAACCACGTTTTACTAAGGGGGGTTCTGCCCAGCCCCGATATTTTTGAATGCCCACTACTTCAAGGGTCGAGCGGTTTCCCGCTTTCCCTCAGCTTCATGGGGCGGGCGGAAATTCATTGTTTCTCTTCCCACGCCACCCGTGGGCCATGCTCCAGGGGCCTCCCTCGGCCCTGGCGCCTCTCAGAGGAGGAAAAGGTTCGGGGGTGGATAGACCTCCTACCCTGACACCTCGATTAAGGAACTGGCCGTTCTCAGTTCGCGAGAGGGCGTCGCGGCCGTCATTTTTGCGGGTCCAGGTTCGTCGGTTTCGGTCCCAGGCCATTTTCATTGAGGGGAGGTTTACTAAAGGGAGGTTTGCCCATCGCCGAAATTAAGTATTTCGGTACCCTCGGATCCCAATCTACTTCAAGCGCCTTCCTGCTTTGAGAATCGATGTGCTGTTGCTGCGCTTTGTTCTCATCTGGGAGGGCCTGGACCCAATCTACGCCATCCGCCTTCCTACTGTGGAAAGGGGGCTCCTCGGCGATTCAAGCAGACAAGTTCCTCGACGATCTGTTTATGCAATGGCTCTTCGATTCAAGCTGACACTTCTACAGAAAGTGAACTGGTGTTTAGATCCTGCCACAACTCAACTTGTGTCTAAAATTGCTGCGGTGAGCGGCGCAGGGAAGAGAGCGCCGGCACACACACGCAGCCACCTACCGCCCCAACCAACCTCCATGGAAGCCATATTCAGTGCGAAAAATCTCATTCAAATTATTGATTTTTCGGGCCCTGTCCGAAGCCATCCGCCCCCGAAGAGATGGCAGATAGCTCCGCCAGGCCACCCTCACGGGGGAAACCTGCAAGCCCGATTCGCCCAGCATTCGCTGGAAAAAAGGGTTGGAATTGAAAACGCTAACTGCTTTAGCGATTAGTTTACACCAGTGGGGGTGAAACGGAAGAATCAACCACACTGGGGTGCAAGTCTCCCTTGGGCGCGGGGGGCTCCTGGGAAAAATACCCTCCAACAGAGATGAATTGAAGCATGCGTTGGTGAGCCGATTTCTGAATTCAAGTTTGACGTCCTTCTCCTGGCTGGTGTGGCTGCAAAATGCTAGCATGGTCTGGAGCATGGCCCTGGGCCAGGACCGGTGCACAGACCACGGGTGCGCACTCGTTGACGCCAGTGGGATCGTCAAAGTTGTGATCTTAAACGCTGGCTTTACAGAAAAAGCTCCTCCTGCGATGCAAACCGACAGTTGGAGCCAATGCGACTCCTTGACATGCCCTTCGTCCAAAACCAAACGGAAATATCTGGATCGGTGTTGCATGATACGAAGAAAGGCACTGAACTTTGCAAAGTCACGATATGCAATCAAAATGTCGTCCTTGAACCTCATGTAAACAGATACCTGGAAATGCATGCGTACATATTGCGAGCACGCCCAGGATTCTAAACGGTTTGCAAGGGCCACATCTGCCACTTCCCCAGAATGGATCAATCCCATGCCAGAGCCCACAACGACTTGGTGCCTGTGGTTTGGCCAGTGTGGTGATGACACGTACTGATGCGCAAGTAGTAACTGCAAAGCACGCTGAACGAGTGCTTTCTGAGCGCCTGTCATGTGAGACGTCGCATCCTGTATTAACTCGTCCATGGACCCAGACATGAAGTAGTCCTTGATGTCAATTTTCGCCAAGCGGGTGCCTGGCGCAGCGTGGCGGCCACGAAGATGCCGCGCAGCATCGACAGCATCGCGGACCAACCAGGGCAGATCGGAAAGATGTCTTCGAAGAACTCCCGATACCCACTTGGATAGCCCAGCGAAGGAATACTGTGCGCTACAATGCAATGCCCGGAACGTCACTGGATTCTTGTGGGTCTTGCACGTCTTGGCAAGACGAGCTGTTAGAGAAACTCCTTTGATGTACATGCTGCGGATGATCTGCCCCGAAAGCCCCTCTACCCCCTCGTAGTCCTCGATGTCTCTTGCCACGCGAGCGTACTTTTTCCAGACATGGGTGAAATCGACATCGAACTCATCCAAGCTTTTGTACACGTCTGTGGTGAGTATGCCGAGGTCAATGCGCCTGTCGTCCATGAGCCGGACGAGCGTGAAGCCGACCTCCTTGTCGTTCGGCACAGCCACCATGTTGGTGCGGCGCAGCAACGAGAAGGCCAGCTTGACCAGGGGCAACGTGTTGGTTGGTCTGCTTCGGTGGCTAAGCTGCGACTTGCTTGCCGCTGCCGCCACGGCCTTGCGGAGGCCGTAGATCCAACAGTCCAGAGAGGGAGTGGACATCTTGTTGAATTCGGGGGTCTTCGATCCTTTCAGCTTGATGTACGCAGAATCACGGCGACTGCCATGGAACCATCTCCATTTGAATTTGTTGGCAAAGGTGCGAAGGTCATCAGCCAGCAGCTGATGATTCGGCATGGCTTGAGAAGCAAATATGAATTTAGGATTGAACGTGCTCAATAGCCAGAGGACTGGCCAGGGAACGTCGACGGCGTCGCGGAGCACTCCAGCAGGATGCTCGAACACCTTGACGCGCCCCGCCACTGAAGAATACCGCATTAACGATATCCATGTGGCCACGTTTGCCCCAGACAACAAGCGCAAGATCATGCGAGTCTGGGCCGAAGAGCTCCTCACTTCTTTCCGCGCTTTCCTTTGCCTTTCTTGCCATAGCCTTTGCCTTTCCCACCTTTTGGCTTGCCTTTGCCCTTCCCCCTGCCCGCGCCCTGTGGTTTGGGCGGCGTGCTGCGGGAAGCTGTCTGTTGCTTCCCCCGGGCTCCCCCGGGGGGTCCGCCGTTTTTTGCCAAGGCTTCGACGAACTTGGCTGTGTGTTCGTGGCCGGCGGTTGCACCGCCTGTCCCGGGAAGGTCTTCCACGACCATCGAGTCCTGGGCCGCCATTGCCTTCTGAACTGCAGCCTCCGCGATGTGTTCCACAGCGTTCTGGAAGAGGGACTCCGGCTTGGTCTGCAAAAGTTGCTGCTCCTTCTGCTCTTCGGCTCGCCGGTGTTTTTCGAGCGCGTCCCGCTTGCTGGCTTCAGTTTTCTCCACTTTCAGCACGGCCCGGCGGTAGAGCTCCTCCACCTTCTCGGCCCGCATCTCAGGGCTGACCTGCTTCATGAGGGGCTCCTCCAGGCCTAAATCTGAAGCTTGAGACGAACAGGCTTTGTCCATGATGTCTTCGCACGTCTTGGCAAAGACGCTCTTCTTGGACATTTCTGCTGCGTTAGCGGAGGAAGACTCCAGAGCCTCCACGTCGATGGCCCTCAACTCATGAGCGACCCATCTGTGCAAGGCAGCTTTAGCTTCTCTGCGGGTAAACCCCTTGGGAATCGTACATAACTGACCGGACGGCAACGCAACAGACACGTCCGTCGATGCAGCTGTGCTCCAAGGAGCGTCCAATTCCACGTGGTGGGCTGGGCTTTTGAATGGCCTCGTCCCGTTGGGGTAAGACCCTTGAGCGAGAAGCTTGACGTCTTCAACTGCCTTTGCATGCATTGCCTTCGCCTTCACTGATTTACCCAAATTCTGCTCGAAATCGTACGTCACCTTATCCAAACTCTTGTTCAAAGAAGCTGGGAAACTCTTGAAGAATGTATTACTGCCAACGTTGCCCTGTGCTGCCTCTGGCGTGGCGGTGCCTCCAGTTGCACCTCCCACATCCCGATGAGAAGCAACTTGCAGAATGGCCTGCTGGAGGGCCTGGAAGTTCTGCTGATTTTGCTCGTTCATGGTGTGGAATGCTGCGATGAAAGCTTCGTTCTGCCTCGTCTGGGCCGCCACCTGCTCCCGGAACGTCTCGAGAATGGTCTGGACGGACTCCGGGGGGGGCGGCGGCGGCCGCGGTGGTTGCCGCGGCGACTGGCCAGCGGCCTGCCTGCCTTGCGTCGCATCGCTCGGGTGGGCCCCTTTGGGAACCTTCGGTGGCCCCTCAAGGGTCGAGCGGTTTCCCGCTTTCCCTCAGCTTCATGGGGCGGGCGGAAATTCATTGTTTCTCTTCCCACGCCACCCGTGGGCCATGCTCCAGGGGCCTCCCTCGGCCCTGGCGCCTCTCAGAGGAGGAAAAGGTTCGGGGGTGGATAGACCTCCTACCCTGACACCTCGATTAAGGAACTGGCCGTTCTCAGTTCGCGAGAGGGCGTCGCGGCCGTCATTTTTGCGGGTCCAGGTTCGTCGGTTTCGGTCCCAGGCCATTTTCATTGAGGGGAGGTTTACTAAAGGGAGGTTTGCCCATCGCCGAAATTAAGTATTTCGGTACCCTCGGATCCCAATCTACTTCAAGCGCCTTCCTGCTTTGAGAATCGATGTGCTGTTGCTGCGCTTTGTTCTCATCTGGGAGGGCCTGGACCCAATCTACGCCATCCGCCTTCCTACTTCATGTTGTTACCTACTTCTTCCGACCGACGGGTACCGCTACCCCTGCCTCGTTTTGCCATTTTCTGGCCTCCTGGGAGGCCTTCGCCGCCACCGCTGGATTCGCCTCGAGGTCCTGGTCAGAACGCACTTCTGGAGGTGCCTTGTCGTGAGGTCCGAGTATCGGCGACTCCCCAGGGTGTGGTCACGCCGAGGTGCGATTTGCGATCGGCGCCGTCAGGGCCTGGGAGGCACGACGATGTCCTCGTCGGGGCTCCTCGGGGCCCGGGGGAGAACTCTACATCGAGGTCCTCGCCCGCCCCCCAGGGTGCCCCCCAGTGTGCAGGTTGCAAGCCACACCCTTCAAGAAAATATTGGAACACTTGGGAAGTGGGGGGAAGACAAACATCCAGAAACTATATGGAATCCTGGGATCTGTGTGTATTTATGTGTGTGTCCCTGGGCCCCTTCAGAAGGGGGCGGAAGATCGCGCTGTATCGCCGACGAATCGGCTCGGTACGATCGGAATGGGCACAGAAAGAATGGGCACGAGGACTGTCAGAAGTTTTCGAACGTTTGAACAGGGTACGTTGTCGGTGCTGCCGCGGGCGGTGTCCATTTGATACAGAAGGCCGCCTGCCCAACAGCCGCCGCTGTCGGGTTTGGACAGCAGTTGCTGATGGGCATTCGGCGCGCCACCGACAGTGGGCCAGGAGCCCTCAGCGCCACCAGCTCGGCCTTTGCGTGACGTAGTCGTTGTCTGATCGGGAATGCCGATGGTTGTGGCAACCAGGGGTGAGTATGCGTCTCGCAGTGAAGTTCGGAATGAGATTTCATGTTCTGGTTTTCAGGGCGCTCACCGCGGGGGCGCGCCATGAAATCGCATGTGGCATGGGGTCTGGCGTCGCTTGCAGGGGCCCGCTCACGGGGCCCCGCCAAGTCCGTTTTCGGTGGGCTTCTTTACGGGGCCACGATGCGTCTGGCAGGTGTGCCGATTCGAGTCGGGGCCGCCGCGCGACCGTGGTTGCCGAGGCTTCTCGAGTCCTGTCGCGCCGTCGTCCTCGTTGTCCTCGGCGGCGGCGGCGACGGCCGCGCCCGCGCCTGGTCGTCGCCACCCCGAAAGGCTCGTTGCAGTCGGCCCGGATTAGTAGGTCGACCCTGCCAAATCAAGCGTACCTTTGTGTCCTGTGTCTCGCGACCCGTGTCTCATGCATTCTTACGGCAGTGTGGCCTTCGGAAGGGTCTTTTGTCATCTCGCGCGTCCTGTCCAATGAAGTCCGACTGCATCCTCGTCCTCATTGTTCCCCCTCCTGCTATTCCGCTGCCTCCTCCTGCTCCTCCTGCTCCTCCAGAGAGACACAGCGCGGTCGAATAGGACTCGGAGCTGACTCGCGGGGCCCGCACCAGCGTCGGGGGGAAGGGAGCCCCCTGAGGTCGCCACGGCTGGACGCGGCTCGAGAGACATGTCGGTCTTGGCCATGGGAGGGGTCTGGGGACCGATTGCGAGTGGATGTGCCTTCCTCCTCCTCCTCCTCCTCCTCCTCCTCCTCCTCCTCTTCCTCCTCCCTCCTCCTCCTCCTCCTCCTCCTTCTTCTCCCATCCCTGAGGGGCGATCCCCTGCGGAGTCCTTACCTTGCAGCTCCCCGTACTCGAAGTCCATGTGCGGTCCCACCGCCAGGCGCCCACGATGGATGTGTCCGCGACCGCGGCCTCGCCAGCGCGCACGCGCCAGATGGCCGCAGCCTGGCCGCAGTCCTGCAGCCCAGCGTCCTCAGTGGCCTCCCTCTCGGTGCGGGGGCGCACCACAGGAGAGGGGGGTGCCCTCGACCAGCTCCCAAGCAGCATCCTCGTCCGAAGGCACCTCTGGGTAACGCTCGGGGGGCAAGAGCATGGCCTCGAGAAACGGACCCGTCGGCCACTGCAATGCGCCCCCGCCACACAACGCAGGTTGCGCCTCCAGAAAGGCCTCGCCCAGCAACACGAGGAAGGGCCTAGGAAGGACCCAGTTGTTCTCCTCGAGCGCTGCTGCGGGCCTCGCCACCAAGCCGCGCTGGAGCATGGCCGCCGAGAGGTGCGGGCAGTGCACGGCCAAGACCTGGCCGAAGGATGACCGCAAGCCTCCGAAGTCGGCCACATCGAAAGTAACTGAGGAGGCCTCTGGGAGAGCAGCGAGCGCCTTCACCGACTCCAACTGCCAGATCGACGCCGCACGATGAGCCACGGAAACCTGGTGCACCAATACTCCAGCCACACCAGCCGCCGCTGCGGCGGCCAGGAATAATAAGCCAGCTCTGATGCCACCATGTTCCTTCCGCAACTCTTTCGCCCAGAACCTATTCAGCAGATCGGCTCCCCACAATTGTTCTCGAGGTCGCACAGGCGAGCCCTGCGAGCCAATACTGTTCACCGTCGCTGTCCAAGATGGTATCGGCGGTGTTACAAGAACTCCCAGAATAGCACATGATTGAATCCTTGCAGTGATATTGTCTAAAAATGTTGAATCCTCCAGCTTTAAAGTCACTGATGGTTCTCTGCAATCGATATATAAAACAGCAATGTTGAAAAAAACAGTGGCACAGCCCATAATACTGCTGAAGTCGTCATCATCTCTGGGACCCCAGCCAAGATGCAACACATAGGATTGCCGATTGGCGCGTTCCGCAGGTGCTGGTGGCAGCGTTGGGGCTGAGACGCATTCAACACACGGGGGCATCGGGCGCTCGTCAACCACAGCAGCCTGTCTCTTGCCAGGTAGTGCTGGACGCATTGGCGCAGTCGCCCGAAGCCCACGAATGCGTTTGTCCACAGCCGACTGCTGGTCCAACCGCTGCCATGCTGCAACTGCCTCGTCGTCCAGGGGAGCAGTGGATGCCATAATGTGGCCAAGACATGCTCCCGTTGGGCGCCTGAGATGCCTTAACAACCTTGATCGATCCGAGAAGCTGGCACCGCAACAGAGGCAATCAACACCGTCAGCAAAGTACTGCGCCATATCCTTTGGCTGGTGCACTCGAGTCCAGTGACCTCGATACCCAGCAACTGTTTGGAAAACCTGATCGCACTCATAGCAGAAATAACTTGTTACTGAGTGTCCATCATCGCCTCTTGGGATCAGCCCAGGGTATACCAACAATATCTTCCGCAATATGAAGGAGTCCCTGTGCTGATCCATTCGCTGCGCAGAAAAACTCATCCAGGCACTGCGCAAGTGCCTATGAAATACTCTCAGATCCTTGGCAACGTATCTCATCCAAGAGGCAATGCCTGAAATATTCCTGGGGCAGTCATCTGGAGCATCGTGACAATACCTTTTGAGCCCCTCCTCCTCCTCCTCCTTCTCCTCCTCGTCGTCCTCCTCGTTGTCCTCCTCCTCCTCCTCTTCCTCCTCCTCCTCCTCCTCTTCCTCCTGTCTGGGGACCGATTTCGAGTAAGTTTGCCTTCATATCCCCCCTCTTGACATGTTCTCTCTGGGCTTGTCCAGCTCAGACCCCCTGGCCGCCTGCAACATTGGGCCACGGCTGGACTCGGCTCGAGAAACATGTCGGTCTTGGCCTGTGGAGGGGTCTGGGGACCGATTACAAGTGAGTTTGCCTTCATATCCCCCCTCTTGACATAGTCTCTCTGGGCGTGTCCAGCTCAGACCCCCTGGCCGCCTCCAGCATTGGGCCACGGCTGGACTCGGCTCGAGAATCATGTCGGTCTTGGCCTTGGGACGGGTCTGGGGACCGATTGCGAGTGAGTTTGCCTTCATATCATCCCTCTTGACATAGTCTCTCTGGGCTTGTCCAGCTCAGACCCCCTGGCCGCCTCCAGAATTGGGCCGCGGCTGGACTCGGCTCGAGAATCATGTCGGTCTTGGCCTTGGGACGGGTCTGGGGACCGATTGCGAGTGCGTTTGCTTTCATATCCCTCTTCTTGACATAGTCTCTCTGGGCTTGTCCAGCTCAGACCCCCTGGCCGCCTCCAGAATTGGGCCGCGGCTGGACTCGGCTCGAGAATCATGTCGGTCTGGCCTCTGGGACGGGACGGGTCTGGGGACCGAATGCGAGTGAGTTGCCTTTTCATATCCCTCTTCTTGGACATAGTCTCTATGGCTTGTCCAGCTCGACCCCCTGGCCGCCTCCAGAATTGGGCCGCGGCTGGACTCGGCTCGAGAATCATGTCGGTCTTGGCCTTGGGACGGGTCTGGGGACCGATTGCGAGTGATTTTGCCTTCATATCCCTCTTCTTGACATAGTCTCTCTGGGCTTGTCCAGCTCAGACCCCCTGGCCGCCTCCAGAATTGGGCCGCGGCTGGACTCGGCTCGAGAATCATGTCGGTCTTGGCCGTGGGACGGGTCTGGGGACCGATTGCGAGTGAGTTTGCCTTCATATCCCTCTTCTTGACATAGTCTCTCTGGGCTTGTCCAGCTCAGACCCCTGGCGATCTCAGAATTGGGCCGCGGCTGGACTCGGCTCGAGAATACAGGTCGGTCTTGGGCCTAGGGAAGGGTCTGGGGAACATTGCGGGTGAGTTTGCCTTCATTATCCCTCTTTCTTGACGATAGCTCTCTCTGGGCTGTCCAGGTCAGACCCCCTGGATGGTGTCCAGAAATTGGGCCGCGCTGACTCGGCTCGAGAATCATGTCGGTCTATGGCCTTGGACGGACTGGGGAACCGATTGCAGAGTGGAGTTTGCCTTCAATCCCTCTTCTTGACATAAGTCTCTCTGGGTCTTGTCCACTCAGGACCCCCTGGCCGCCTCCAGAATTGGCCGCGGCTGGACTCGGCTCGAGAATCATGTCGTCTGGCCTAGGTACGGGTCTGGGGACCGATTGCGAGTGGTTTGGCCTTCAAAATCCCTCTTCTGACAAAGTCTCTCTGGGGCTTGTCCAGCTCAGACCCCCTGGCCGCCTCCAAATTGGGCCGCGGCCCTGGACTCGGCTCGAGAATCATGTTCGGTCTTGGGCTTGGGACGGGTCTGGGGACCCGATTGCGAGTGAGTTGCCTCATATCCCCGTCTATGACATAGCCTCTCTGGCATTTCCAGCTCAGACCCTGGACGCCTCAGAATTGGGCCCGCGCTGACTCGGCAGCTCGAGAATCATGTCGTCTTGGCCTTGGACGGTCAGGTTACCGAGTGCGGAGTGATTTTGCCTTCATATCCCTCCGTCTTTGACATAGGTCCTCATCTGGGCTTTGTCCAGGCTCAGACGCCCCTGGCCGCCCTCCAGAATTGGGGCCGCGGCTGACTCGGCTTCGAGAATCATCATGTCGGTCCTTGCCTTGGGACGGGTCTTGGGACCGATTGCGAGTGAGTTTTTGCCGTCATATCCCTCTTCATGACATAAAGTCCCTCTCTGGGCTTGTCCAGCTCAGACCCCTGGCCGCACTCCAGAATTGGGCCGCGGCTGGACTCGGCTCGAGAATCATGTCGGTCTTGGCCTTGGGACGGGTCTTGGGACCGATTGCGAGTGAGTTTGCATTCATATCCCTCTTCTTGACATAGTCTCTCTGGGCTTGTCCAGCTCAGACCCCCTGGCCGCCTCCAGAATTGGGCCGCGGCTGGACTCGGCTCGAGAATCATGTCGGTCTTGGCCTTGGGACGGGTCTGGGGACCGATTGCGAGTGAGTTTGCCTTCATATCCCTCTTCTTGACATAGTCTCTCTGGGCTTGTCCAGCTCAGACCCCCTGGCCGCCTCCAGAATTGGGCCGCGGCTGGACTCGGCTCGAGAATCATGTCGGTCTTGGCCTTGGGACGGGTCTGGGGACCGATTGCGAGTGAGTTTGCCTTCATATCCCTCTTCTTGACATAGTCTCTCTGGGCTTGTCCAGCTCAGACCCCCTGGCCGCCTCCAGAATTGGGCCGCGGCTGGACTCGGCTCGAGAATCATGTCGGTCTTGGCCTTGGGACGGGTCTGGGGACCGATTGCGAGTGAGTTTGCCTTCATATCCCTCTTCTTGACATAGTCTCTCTGGGCTTGTCCAGCTCAGACCCCCTGGCCGCCTCCAGAATTGGGCCGCGGCTGGACTCGGCTCGAGAATCATGTCGGTCTTGGCCTTGGGACGGGTCTGGGGACCGATTGCGAGTGAGTTTGCCTTCATATCCCTCTTCTTGACATAGTCTCTCTGGGCTTGTCCAGCTCAGACCCACTGGCCGCCTCCAGAATTGGGCCGCGGCTGGACTCGGCTCGAGAATCATGTCGGTCGTGGCCTTGGGACGGGTCTGGGGACCGATTGCGAGTGAGTTTGCCTTCATATCCCTCTTCTTGACATAGTCTCTCTGGGCTTGTCCAGCTCAGACCCCCTGGCCGCCTCCAGAATTGGGCCACGACGTGGTCAGGCCGTGAACGTCGGTCACGGCTCAACTCTCACCAGCCGGTGAGGTTGTTGGCTCGCGGTGGAGGGTGGGCGTTCTGCGGAGGCTGAACGGGATCGTTAGGTGCTCTCTTGGGGGACCTTCCTTGGGCCCACCTGACGGATCCGTTCGACTCTGGTGCGACTGTAGTTCGACTCCAGGTCGATTCCAGTCCGACCTGAGTTCGACCCATGTTCGACTCAGTTTCGACCCAGGGTCAACCCAGGGTCGACTCACATCGACGGACGTTCGACGCATCTTCGAGGCACGAGTGGAGCGAGTGCCTCCAGGCATGTCACGCGGGGCGGTGGTCGGAGGCCATCGGCCCTAGACGGCAGATGCCCGCCAGCCGTGGAGGGCCCCGAGGGGGGCGGAGCGGCGGCCCCCAGAGAGGCCCAGAGAGGGAGAGCCCACGGGGGCCGAAGGGGAGCCCAAGACTGGCCAGCTGGACCCCCGCGACCGACCGAGGTCCCGTGCGTCGCTCGGACGTGCGCATTTGTTTCTCGGCGGGGGCCATGGAGGACCATCCTGGACCATCGAGCAAAGAGAGCACGCACGAGACCGAGACAGACACGGGGAATGGACGTCCGAGCGAGATGACCATCCTGGACCATCGAGCAAAGAGAACACGCACGAGACCGAGAAAGACACGGGGAATGGACGTCCGAGCGATGGCAAGGAGGTGGCCCTGCAATGCACCACGAGAGCCAAGGAGGGCCCGTAATCGCCCCAAGACGGTTTCGAAGTGCCGCACACCAGGCGCCACGAGGTCCTCGGTGCGGGTTCGCAGCAAGGCTCCACGACGTTGACACACTGCGCCCCGAGAGATGCCGATGACCGCCCCACGTCGGCGTCGGAGCAGGAGGAGGTGGAGAGGCCACAAGAGGGCCCAGGAGATCCAGACTGCGGGCCCACAGGGCCCCGCGACAGCCAAACGATGGCCACCCAGAAGCCCCACAAGCGCGCGCGCGATGGTTTTATTTCCCATGCACTTGCGGCACTTTGTCCTCTCCGCAGCCCCCACCACCATTCCTTACCTTACTGTACTTTCTTCGTCCTCGGTGCCTCCTTCGTCCTCACCGTGCTCACCATCAATCACCAGCATCATCATATTCGTCAGCATCAGCAGCATCATCGTCATTGTCATCACCATCACAATCCATCTTTATCATCATTACCACCGTCATCCCACCCCATCCTACGTCACGCACCTCGTGTTTCTCGTTCAACCGCCGTCATCTCAACAGTCTCCCGGGGTACCCTTCATGCTCCGCTCCTCCTTCCCGTCCTCAATTCTCCCCATGGTCCACATTTCCTTCCGTAGCCGTTTTGGCTTAAGTTCCAACGCCGCGCAGTCGTATGTCGACCAATCGCTTGCTTGCATGCTTGTTGGTGCATTTGGAAATGTATACCATGAGTTTGCTGCTTAGTGCAGCGGCTCTAGATCCCACCGTGTCCTCTGACAGGGACACCTGGCAATGGGGAAGGCGACTGGGTTCTTGCGAGGTCCAGTGTGCGAAGGCAGGCCACACCTGCGTGGGAAACGAGAGCGCCAACCGCCGCCCGTCATGCGATATGGGCTGCACCTTCGGACGGCAGAGTACAGATCTCGATTCTTGCATAGATACTTGCTGCGAGGCGGCCGCCGCTGGTGCCCAATGCTTCTATGTGTTTCATGGCGCACGCATGTCCCTGTGCTCAACCTGCCCTTCCAGCAACACCGTTGACCACAGGGAGTGCTTTGCCGGATGCCATCACGCATTCGAAACAGGTAGCAGCACAGCCGATCTCGAAGATGGTTCGTCAATTGTGTGCTTGAATGCGAAGGAGAAGGCATGCGTTGCGCATTGTAAGGCGGCGGGGCATTGTTGCCATGGATTTCTTTCTTCACACAATTACGCATCTTGCGCCCAAGGATGTGCTTTCGGCCAGTTGACGAGACGAGAAGAAAAATGTGTATCAGTGTGTGAGAGGGCCAACGCCGAGCATTGTGCAGTGAGTTTGGCTGACCTTGGCCTGGGCCCACACCACTTATTTCACGAAGGCATCGTCCACAAGTGCCAGTCCTGCCCTCCAGGGTGCTCTTCAGGCGCCCATGACTGCAGGCAAGGCTGCACGTATGCATACGCTGATCCTCCGGCAGTTCTTCAACCTGTACACGGCAGGCTCGACGCGGCGAAAGCATCGGGAGCAGCACCCGGCACGAGTCAAGTCGATGTCGTTGGTTATTCGGATCTGCCTGTTGGCCCGCTTGCATTTGCAGCGGGTGGCGGTTTTGTGTTTGCCCTGATATTCAATGCAATTTGCCTCAGACCCAAATCCGAGCCGAATGAAGCGGGATACGTGGTACCGGCAGCGGTGGTTGGTAGCAGTTCTGTGAAGAGACGTGTTTATATGGAGCTTGCAAGCGATGGGGAAACATAACAATTCCTTCTACGCTCCCCTCTCCACTTCTTGCCCAGAGAGGAGGGGGGGCACAGGAAGGCGAAGGGAGAACGTAGAGCGCAGAGCAGGAGACGACATACATGCGGTGAGGAGGTGGCGACGCATAGGGGAAGAATGGCGAGAGCGGGGAGGGGTGGGGAGGGCATGGAGAGCGGGGAGGCGGATGGACGCGTGCCCCGCGTGACCTCCCGAAGTTGCGCGCAGTCCGAGCCTGCGCGCCAGGCGCGCGCAGACTCCGGCGGGGAGCGGCCATCGAAGAACTGATAGAACGGCATGAGCTTTTACAGTGGAGGCCCATGCCAACAAGCACCTTGCTTGCCTCCAGGGTGCCCTGGGTGTCTCGGGTTTCGATGGCTTTGCCCTGGAAAGCAAGACGTTGCCGCCACCAACAAGCAATCGACGTCCTGGCGTCTCAGGGCTGGGTTTCTTGTGGTCGGGCCCCATGCAGAGTTCCGGGCCGATGTCCCGGGTCGGCGCTGGGCCCCCCTGGATCCAAGAAGCCCGTGCGGTCCTGCGAGAACGTATCTGTTCATGCTGTGGGCCGTTACGCCAGAGAAGTCTCCGGGGGCATTGCACCGACTCCGCATCGCCAAGCGCCCTGTGATCGCCCGTAGGGGCCTGCTACACCACACCGCCCAGGAATTTTCGGATTCGCGATCGGAATCCTATCGCCGATCGATCGGCGATGTGTCGCCGATTCCAGCTCGGTGTGTTCCCCCCTGAGCCTGTCCCCCCCCCCTGACGTCCCCCCTCATCTAAGAAGGCCCCCGCTTCCTAAGAAGCCCCCCATTCGCGACATCCCCTGGTGCGCGCCACCAGGGAGTGCTGTCGGCGCGGGCACACCGTGACTGGCCGTGCCAGACCGCCTTGGTTCCGCTGTCGGTGTCTGCGCAGGCAGCGCAGACATCTTGCTGTCAGTCTCGAGTTCCAGGCGGGTCGAAGTAAGCATCGGACATGGAGTTGCTCCGATTCCAGACGGCCAATCTGGCCTAGTTGAGCATAGAAGGCTCAATCATTTACCAAGACTAATCACCCATGAGGGGCCTCCCAACACTTGGGGGCTGTCCTTCCGACGACATATCTTCTCCACTGTGGGCCCCACACAGTGGTTACATGGATGGAGGGGGGGGGAGGGGGAAGGGTGCATGGAGGGTGCTTGGCAGGGAACGGAACGATGACTGGGGGCTCTTCCTCCTCGTCCTTCCCATTTTCCCCACCCTTTCTCCGTCTCCCCCTCCTCCCCGCTCCTCTGCGTGCCGGTCTCCCGCGCCTCCCCTTCCCTTCCTCGCTCTCGTCCTACTTCTCCCACCTCTGATCCTCCTCCTTATCCTCATCCCTCTCCTCGGTGCAGGTGAGGCCCGAGCGCCCGGTAGCGCCAGCGACTCCCTGCGCAAAGTGAACACAGCTAGGCCAAACTAGGTTTTGAACATCTACAAAGTTCTAGCCGATGTAATGAAGCACCGAACTGGCCCCAGAGCTTGATCTATCGATAGATGCCGCTCCTCCCCATCCCTTACCTCTTCCGCCGCCTCCTCCTCTTCCGCTGCCCCGGCAGAAGGGAGATGAGAAGGATGAGGGGGGATGAAGGTAGGGAAGGGTAGATGAGACGGACGAGGGAGGATGGTGGCAAGAAGGGAGGAAGGCGGAGGAGGAGAAGGAGGCGGAGGTGGAGGAGGATGAGGATGAGGATGTGGATAAGGAGGAGGAGGAGGAGGAGGAGGAGGAGGAGGAGGAGGAGGAGGAGGAGGAGCAGAAAAGGGAGGAGGAGGAGGACGAGGACGAGGAGGAGGAGGAGGAGGAGGAGGAGGAGGAGGAGGAGGGAGGGTGTCAGGCAGGGAGATAAGCAGGAGAAGGAGGATTGAGGAGGATGAGGAGGAGGAGGAAGGAGGAGGAGGAGGAGGAGGAGGAGGAGGAGGAGGAGGGAGGAGGAGGAGAAGGGGCCTCCCATCGTCGCCGCGCCCCCTCGTCGCCGCGCCCCCTCGTCGCCGCGCCCCCCTGCCCGCGGTGCGGAGGTGCAGCGGAACACCAGCTCGACCCCCCCGAAGGAGGTGCGCGCGCGCGCCCGCCCCCCCTCGGAGGGTCACGAAACGCACGCCACTGCGCCTGGTCGGCCACGGGGGTCGGCGTGCCCAGCTTCCCACGCTGCGGGGCGCTGGAGCGCGCAGACGCCACGTCCCTGCGCCCAAAAAGCGGCGGGTGGTCCCGTGGTTCGGCGGGAGGAGGAGCGACACCAGCGCCAACAGAGGGGGCCACCTCCAGCAAGGAGCTCCGCGGTGCCTCCCCGAGCTGGGGGCTGGGGATGTCTCGCGCGAGGGGGGGGGCCCCCCTCGCTCCTCGCGTCTCCTCGCCCTGGCGGTGTTGGTGTCGCCTCTCGTCCTCCCCGGTGGCCGACCAGGCGTCGCGGTCTGCACATCGAGCCCCTCCGCCTCGCTCGTGCGCCTCCTCCGCTCGCCGCGGAGGAGCACGCGTGCCCCGCGAGGGCAACGAGGCCGCCTGCACAGTATAAAACACGCGGCTCGAGACGCCTGGCCGGCCCCCCGGCGATCTCCGAGGGACGGGACATGTTTCGATTGGGCGTGTAGCTTTGCGAGGGAGCGGCCTCTGGTGCGGGCTCACTGTGATAGGGGACATGTTCCACCACTGCTGTCATGGGTAGGACGGGGGAGATGGGAGGATGGGGATGTCCTCCTCCTCCTCCTCCTCATCTTTCTTCTTCTCCTACCTTTGGTAGTGGTGGTGGAACATCGGCCCATCACACTGGGGCCCTGCGACAGCTGAACGTGATGTGATAGCATCGGCCTGCGCGCTTGGGTTCCCCCGTGAAGCCTGCGCACCAGAGGCCCTTTCTGCTTGGGGTTACTCTTGCGTATGCCCGAACATTGACAACTAAGCAGCCTCGAACTTATCCCTACCCCCAAGGTTCAAAAGCCAAAAGAACGTGTCAATCTTGGGGATGCACCCTCAGAGTCTGAGGAAACCCCTGCGATCGGCATCGAGGTAAGGCGATGCCAAGCATGGGGAGAGGGATTGGTGAAGGCTGGTGAAGCACCAACTCAGACCCCACCCTCCCCGAAAGAGGCGCGCCCGCGCGCGCCCGCCTCGCCGCGCCCGCTGAGGAGTTCGCTCGAGTTCGGGCTTTCTCCTCTGGACTGAACTCGCCGACCAGGGGTGCGAGACCTTGTGCCAGGTCCGAGCCCGCACCAGCTTCGCGCACGAATGAACCTTCGCCACAGTGATCGCTGGGTGCGGGTGCTCACGAGTCTCACCAGCATCAAATCGGGCATGCACCTCTACAGGAGGGATATTCAAGAACGTTTCAAAAATTGTCTGGGAACGATCTGTCGATACTTTTTGGACTATCTTGGAGTTTGATTTGTTTCGACAATTTGTTGGTTTCTTCCAAATCCGCCTGTTGGAGGACATTCCCGACCTAACACCCGCACCCGGATGCGCGCTTTTTGGCCTGCCAGCCCCCCGCGGCCCCCCGGGGCCGCGCACCAACGGCATCTCTGCCAAGGGCCGCTCTCTCGCGTGCCGCCGAGCCCACGCCGGCTTCGGACGCCCGGCTCGGCTCTCTCCTGCCCATGGTCCGCCTGGGGCCCCTTAGGCGAAGAATAACAAAAACATACAAGCATAGACTTCGACGCTCCGCGCTGGGGTCAGCGGTCAGCGCAAATTCAAGAAATCTGTGCGGATGGTCGAAACTTTCTGTTCATGTGGTTGTTCCTACTTCGGAAACAGTGCACATACGCGGCCGAGTTGCTGCTGTCCCCCGCCTGGCGCTCGGCGGCTCTTCCCGCCTCCGCCGCCGACGGCGGTGTTTGATAACCGTCGATGCTGTCCCGATGCTTGCCACCGATTCTCGATGGCTCCCGACGATCTTCGCAGGTCTCCGATAGTTCTGTACGGTTGTCAGAGGTTCTCGGATGTTCTCATACGGTGCTGGAGGTTCCATGAGGTCGTGATCGACGTTCGAGGATGTTCGAGGTTCTTTGATTTGTTCGGATTGTCTTGTGCCTCGTGGCCAGAGTGCGCCACAGGACAGTCCTCAGGCCTCGGGGTTGTCGTCATCAAATTTCCCTTTCCGCCCTTTCCTTCCCGTGCCCGCCTCCCACTCGTGGCCCTCCTCTTCGTCCGCCTCCCGACGCTTCCCTCTTTTCCCTGCCTCCGCTGCTACGTACGTGACCTCTATCGAATCCGCCATGGCATGGCGCAAGCAAGCGGGGTCTGATACTGGGTTGAGACCAGATGGGCAATTGGGAGTCCCTCGTTGTATCACGATATCCAGCTGCCTGCGGCAAACCCCGCCACCATGCTGTGCAATACCGCACCAGGAGGAGACTGTGCGTAGGAACGACGTTAACTGGGTCTGATCGTGAACCCCGCCTCGTCTTGGTCCGTGCTGTAGTGGGGAGGCTGAGTTTACGTCCCGTTGCAGTTCAGCGAGCAGTCAGAACTGAGGTGGGTCATGGACTCGACCTCGTCTTCGTCCGCGCGGTAGGGAGTATGATGAGGAGGATGAGAAGGAGGAGAAGACGGAGTAGAATGAGAGGGTAAGCAGGAAAATGACAACGATGAGAAGGCATATGAGGGACTGTGTTGGGGCCTCCTTGGAGCCTCCTGGGGGCCTCTTGGGGGTCTCTCAGGGGCCTCTTTGGGTCTTTGGGGGCCCCCTTGGGAGACCTTGGGCCGCCTTAGGGGGCTCCTGGCCCGTCTGACGCGCCATCGGAGGCCGTCTTGGGGGCTTCTCTGGGCCGTCTTGGTGCCCTCTTGGAATGTTTTAGGGTCATCTTGGGGCCCTCCTGGGCGACCTCGGGGTCCTCTTGGGCCGACTTGGAGCCCTCTTTGAGGGCATCATGGGCTGGCTTGGAGTTATATCGCAGGCCTCTTGGGTTATCTTGGGCGGTCGGGAATCCAAACGGTAAGAACCTCAAAATCCTTCAAACACCTAAGGCAACTCGGGCTTTTCTGGAGGGCTTCTTGGGGCTCGTTCGGGCCGTCTGAGAGGCCTCGCTGGAGGTGGAACAAACGCCATATGGTAGCATTAAGTTTTTTTTAATTTTTCACCAAACAAGAAAAACATGCAGGCACGAAGGCATGCGACAAGGGGAGGTTCGACCCTAGAACCGACTCCCGACAAGAGGCAGTAGAACTCGCCAAACAAGCCTTCAGACAACAGAGAACCGTTCAAACACGCCCACTCCGTGCAGGCACGGAGGCGGGTACTACTCCCTCGTTCGCCATCCTGTTTCGCCCCCTTTTTTCCCATCTTACCCCCTCTGCTCATCCCCCTTCTTCTCCTACCTTGGGTGGTTTTCAAGGGATTTCTGGACGCCCCTGGACGCTTTCGGAGCCTGCCATAGACTTTCGGAGGTGTCCCGACATGGATAGATGTGGCCCGGTAATCTCCGTAGTTAGGACCACCCTTATGATGATGAGGAGGTGGGGGTTTGGATGGGTGCAACCTTTGGTTTGCGATTGAATTCGGACAAGGCTTTCGATCTATCTATTCATCGATTTTGATATGTTCGTACAGTGGTCCACGCAGTTCGTCATTCAATCACATTGCTGACATACACATATCGAAAGGTATACCTCCCAATATCGCAAAATTTTATATAGCCATGTATACGAGTGTATATGTGTATGCCCCTTCGCACGCTAGCACAATACTTACACATATCGACTTCACCCCCCAACCTCCGAACATATCATGTATTTATCGTTGTCTATCTTCATATACTGGCGAACCTCCTAATACCGATCTGGACAACCATCAGGAGACCAATCAAACAAAACACATGGAGGTAGCCATTGTGGCAGCCATGAAAACTTCATCTACCATTTACACTGTCATCACATGTTCAATCGTCCATCCATACAGTGTCGATATCCCAACATATCGGAATATTCGTCGATCTATCTATACAACCATGGAGACGCCAATTGGGACAACACGGGGCACTATTGGGAAAGCCACAGAGACGCCCATCCATCGGGACACCTATTGGAACAGATCTGAAGACATTCACCCGTACGGCCATCAGGATAATTTCCAGAACAACCATCGAAACAACCCACGGGACAACAACCATCAGGACAACCGTCAGAACAATTACCGGGATCACCCATCGGGACAGGTATCGATCTGCCTAGCTATGGATCAGTTCGACGGAAGATGCACGGGAAATCCACGAGACGACCACAAGAGAACCGCGGGAAAGGCACAGGACCACCGCTGGACAACCCGGGGTGCGCCACGGCAAAACCACGGGACGATCACGGGACAACCGCTGGGCAATTTCGGGTACCTCCCGGCAGGAGGTCATTGATTCATATTGGCATGATTTGCACCCGGCTATATGGTGCAGGAGCACGTCTCGCGTTGCTTGGCCTCGACCGCACGCACGACAGGAGCCGAAAACGACACTCCTTTTCATTTCGACGACCCCCCCGCCATGTCTTTCGGTAGCAAATCATGGGAGCCTTGTGTACCCTTGTAATTCTGTCTTTAGCGTCGATTCGCGTCTGGGAGTCGATGAGATAGCGCCGATTTAGCGTCGGCTAGCGTCGATTAGATGTAGCGTCGATTAGCGTCGATTTAGCGGCGATTGGCGTCGATTTGCAAGAGCCGACAAGATGGTATGGGAGGCCCCCATGAGTTGGTACAGATGCTTTTATCCGCCCATCCTGGTGGGGCCCTGGTGCATCGGCTTCCTTCCAGAAACAAATCACAAGCTCCGGCCTCGGGAGAGAGACGTGGAAGCAGATAGAGAGAGAGAGAGAGACTTAAGTCGGGCCTGTCCCTCTGCAGGGGGGATTTTCCAAAATAGTAAAAAAATAGTCGGGGGACGATTTTTTGAGCATTTGTTTGTTCCCCCATTTTGAGGTATTGGTTGATTATTTCTTTCGTCCAAAATTCTAGACGCTTCGCGTATCCCCACCAGCCCGTCCAGAAACGACGCCCAGGCGAGTAGAGGGTCGTCCTGAGGGGCTTTTCGGCGTCTTGGGTGCCTCGGGGGGGCCTCTGTGGGCCGTTCGGGATCCTCTTTGGGGCCTCCTGGGGGCCTCTTGGGGCCTCTTGGGGCCATCTTGGGGCCTTTGGGGGCCTCCTGGGCGCTTCTTGGGGCCTCCTGGGCGCTTCTTGGGTGCCTCTGGGGGGTCTCTTGGGGCCTCTTGGGGGTCTCTTGGGGGCCTCCTGGGGGCCTCTTGGGGGGCCTCGGAGCCATCTTGGAGGAGATCGATCAACGAAGGGGGGTTCCCTAATTACAGTTCCCCCTCAGGAGCCACGATCCTCGTGAGGGGTGTCGAATTTTAGCCCTCCCAGGGGTCGATCTTGGGCGCTCCAACGCGCCGCGGAACCCCCTGTCCGGGTCAGTGGGGAGGGGGTAGGGGGAGGGGTAAACCCCTCCCCGAAGGGGAAGAAGGAGGGGTGGAAGAGGAAACGCTCTAAACCACCGACGCCCAGAGGGCTGGTGGGATTTCCCTGTATGAGGACGGGCCCGACTTAAAGATAGACTCGAGGGAGCCAGACAGATGGGCGCGTGGCCCCCGTGCAGGTGTTCAACCGCTGGAACGACTTCTGCGAGCGAACCTCGCCTTTGCCGTCGGAGCGGCCGGCGAGGGGGCTTGGCATCGCTCGGACGTGTGCATTTTTCCTTCGTCGAGGACCATCGAGGAGCATCCTTGATCATTTGGCGAAAAATCCACGCACGAAACCGAAAAAAGCACCCGGAATGGACGTCCGAGCGATTGCAGGGGGGCGGAAGGAGGGCAGAGGAGGGAAGGGGAGGGGGGTGCCACTCCTTTGTCGTTCGCGTACTGCGCTGATTTGGGTCCAGGGTTTCGGTGTCGTTTCAATTCCGACGTGCCCGAAGCTGAGGGGCGAGGAGGAGGGGGACAGGGGTCGACCTAAACGGTGTTTTGGCGATTGCCTGGGTCGTTTTCGTTGGGTCTTCGTTTTTGCAGCAAGGGCGGACTGGAAACGGGAGGAGGAACGACGAACACGAAGCGAAAACGAACACCATAGGTTAGGTCGACCCCTGGGGGGGGGATGCTGGAGTTGTTGTGTGGTCTATTGCCTCCGTGGGGGGCTGACCTTCGCCGCGCGGTTTGGCCAGCTCCGCTTCGAAGTCCTGGCCCGAACGTGCGGCAGCCAAGGTCCGAGCGTGGCCTGATGTGTTAGGAGGAGGCGGCGGAGTATAGTTCCCCCCCTTCCATCTCTTTCATTTCTGATGATCCGACCTACTTTAGCATTGATCACCATTCAGATTGTCGAGCACCAAGAAGGCGTCGAACATTGCAGATTTTCACGTGTCGGGCCCTGGGAGGCGGTACTGGTCCGACACTGTTTCGATACTTTTCTGGGCGCCCGAGATTCTGTATGGGATGTGGTCCTCAGGTGCGATGGGAGCATCAGAATCCCTCATCGAGGTCATTCTTATTCCCTCTCCTTCCACCCCCCGTCTGCCTGCCCTCCACACTCCGCCTGCCCACTTTTGCACCACCGTCTCCTTGCAGCCAGCAGCAGCGGCCACCTGGCCGTCTGCTTCGAGCAACTCCCGCCAGGGCCGACCGGCCCTGGGGGCGGGACGGCAGTATACGGCTATTCTCAGAAGGGGAGAAGCACACAGACACAAGCAATCGGCGATGCCCAAGAAAACAAGGGGAAACATTCGGGAAGTGGGGGGAACGACGAAGAGCCAGAACATATGGGGAGTGTCGTCATGTGTGTGTGTATTTCTTTGCGTGTCCCTGGGCCCCTGGAACGCTTTGCGCCACCAGGTTCCAAGGGCTCCCTCGAGGGCGCGAAGTTATTCGCGCTTCGCGCTTCGCGGTCCTCGTTCCTTCTCCCCCTCCTCCTCGTCCTCCTATTCTCCCTTTGGGAGGGCGGCGCGAGAGCGCGAAGTTATTCGCGCTTCGCGCTTCGCGCAGCGCGAAGCGCGAAGTTGGGAGCCCTAGAGGTTCCCAGGCCCCAGAGGAGGAGGAGGCGGCCAGCCCAGGGGGGGGGCGCGAGACGGGGCGGGCCTTCTCGGAAGGCTCGGGCGTCCCCCATGGCCGTGTCGAGAAGCTTCCCGAGGCTTCCTGGGATACAAGGGCTCCCTCGAGGGCGCGAAGTTATTCGCGCTTCGCGCTTCGCGGTCCTCGTTCCTTCTCCCCCTCCTCCTCGTCCTCCTCTTCTCCCTTTGGGAGGGCGGCGCGAGAGCGCGAAGTTATTCGCGCTTCGCGCTTCGCGCAGCGCGAAGCGCGAAGCTGGGAGCCCTTGCGGACGTCCCCCATGGCCGTGTCGAGAAGCTTCCCGAGGCTTCCCGGGAGACCTCACATCGACTAGACGTACGAGCGACCTTTCGCCAGAGTGACCTTTGGTGCGGGCCCACTGGGTTCCCCCGGTCGCCAAACGCGATGCGACAGTAGCGTCTTGCGCGTTTGTGTGTTGGCCCCCCCCGGGTTCCCCCAAAAGCCGCGCACCAAAGGTCACTCTTACAGAGGGTCACTCTTGCGTGTAGTCGATCACAGAAGACTTCTCAGAAAGCGCGGGGGCTTCTGAGAAGTCCCGCCGCTTTCAGAAGGCCTTCTCTTTCTCACTTCCCTCCCCCGCGCTCGCCGCCGAGAGGAGGAGGAGGCGCAGTATGAGGAGGATCAAGCTGGCCAGCTCGAACGCGCCACTCGCACCCTCCTTGCCATAATCATAGCGAAGAGACCGAACGGTTATTCACTGTCCCTGGGTGCGTGGTTAAAGTGAAACTCCGCGGCGCGGATTGTGCTTGCTGATGTTGCTGCTATTGTTGTTGTTGTTGTTGCTGTCATTGTTGCTGTTGCTGTTACTGTTGTTGCTGGTGTTGCTGCTGGTGTCGCTGTTGTTGCTGTTGTTGTTGTTGTACTTGTTAGTTGTGGTGGTGTTGCTGTTGCGGTTGCTGTTGCTGTTGCTGTTTTGTTTGAATTCCCACTTCCAGAGAATAATTGTTGTCGATTCCCCCTGATATTCAGCCGCCGCGCCCTCGACTCTGAGGAATCACGCTCTCGCCGTGGATGTTCTTCACGTTTGATTTGGAAATCGCGCTCTCGCTCGAGACTTCCTCACGATTCATGCAGGACAAACGCTTCAGCAACCCGCCTGCCACTTGTCATTTCAGTATATCCGTCCTCTCTTTCCCTGCCTTATGGGATGCACGAAATACACGTTGCAGTTAAGAGAGGTACATCCAGAAGTGGGTACGATCAAAAACTAAGAGGGCGTGCGCCGAGGACTTGGGACAGATATGTTGGATTGTACGCGGGCAGGTCAGAGAGAACAGTCTGAAACTGATTGTTGTTGGTTTTGTTGGTGGTGGTGTTGGTGTTGCTGCTGTTATGTTTGTTGCTGTTGCTAAATTGTCATGCCGAAAGAATACTTACGAGTAATACCCCTTGTCGGTTAACCATCTTATTTGTTTAATGAAAGTGTTCCTCCATCGGGCTCGCACCCTGCTCATTACATGGGAACGCGAATTGCCACCACATTGGGTTGTTGAGCGCCGATCTACAACAATGGCTCCCACCTGATACTTCCTCACAAGGTATTCCCAAATCGCGCTCTCGCGCGGAACGTCCTCACAGTGCATGCGGGAGTCGTGCTCTCGCGTGGGACTTCCTCGCAATTTACCCGACGCCGCGCTCTCGACCATTCAGGAATCACGTGTTCGTTGAGGATTTCCTTAAGGTGTATGTGGGAATCGCGCTATCGGTGGATACTTCCTCGCGGTTCACGCAAGATGCACGCTTCAGCAAGCCACCTGCTCGACCTGGCCGCCTGGGCCCGCCTTCCGACCCGCCCGTTAGGGTCTACCCGCCCGATCTGCCCTTCTGGTTCTGTCACGTACTTTCTGCTTCTAGCCCCCCTCCAGCTCCTCTCTCTCGTGGTCCATCCTCTTCCCTCCCCCTTGTCCTTTCCTTTTATCCGATTTCTCTTTCCCTGCCTTAAGGGCTGCACGAAGTACACGTTGCAGGAAGGAAAGACGTACACCCCAAGGGAGTACGATCGAAGACGAAGAGGGCGGGTATCGAGGGCTTGGGATATACATGTTAAGTGGCCCGCGAACAAATAAGAACGACCAATCTGAAAATGATTGTTGTTGTTGTTGGTGGTGTTGTTACTGTTGTTGCTGTTGTCGTGTTGTCGTTGCTGCTGTTGGTGTTGTTGTTGTGCTTCGTTAAGTTGGGTTACGTTGGGTTGTGTTGCGTTGCGTTGTTGTCGTCGTCCCCCCCGAGACACGGCCCGCGACCAGGCCCGCGAACCACCCGCCACCCACCCGCCACCCACCCGCGACCCACCCGCGACCCATCCGCGGCCCACCCACGGCCCACCCGCGACCCGGCCCGCGAGCCACCCGCGACACACCCGCGACAAACCCGCGACCCACCCACATTGTCTTGAAGAAAAAATCAGAGCCTGAAGCGGGCTCGTTGCACAACTTGTGAAAATTAGGCGCCTCTGGCGGTCTTCTCCAGAGCTTTGCAGACTGCTGACGTCCCCGCCGCCCCCTCACTCTTATCCGCAACTGCGGGGTGCTGCGTACGGTTAATCGAAGCATGTCGTTCTGAGCTGACTGCAGCCGTCTTCAAGAAGGTTGTTCAAGAGAAGTGGCTGGCTTGCAGAAGATGGGGTTAAAACGGTAGTGCAGGAAGGAGGGGGACGAAAGGATGATCAAGACGGCCGTCGTTCTCCCGCGCGCCACGGCGCACTTCTCCCCAGCCCCCAGCAAGGGCCTCACCGCGCTGGGGGATCCGTAATCCGCCACAACACAGCAGTGCGGCTGGACATGGCGGACTGGCGCTCGAGGTCGCGCTGCATCGCCGATGCATCGTCGATGCGTCTCGATGTGGAGCTCGATTTGCTTCACGTCGACGTCGCCGATGCGTCGCCGACGTCGCCGATGCAACGCCAACGCATCGGCGATGCATCGCCGACGCATCGGCGATGCGTCGCGAACCTCCGACCCCGTCGATTCGGACCCCATCTAGGAGTCCTCTAGGCGCGCTCTCCGGCCTAGCGAGCGAAGAGAGGCCCTCGCGCCGTGCCCGGGCAGGAGTACAGTTTGGGAGGGAAGCCTGGCGTCCAAAACTCAAGCAGCAGTCCTCTCGCTGGCGCGCGAAGCAGCTTCGGGTGGGACTGACGTTCGGAAGACATGCGCCACGCCCCAGGCGGGAACGCAGATACACAGCGCAGGGAGCGAGTGGCACTTCGTTATCTCGGCCATTGCGTCGATCCCATCGATTAGGTGTCCAGTACTTGAGGGTCCCACGAACCCGGTAAGGCACTTACGCCATCTTCTGATATGTCATGTCGCCCAAACGCGTGTGCCGCGATGTCGTGTCATTGCCACTGTTTACGCGCCAGACGCGTGTTGGACCCCCGTGGATGCATCCTACGTCGAATGATTCCCTCACAGTCAAGGCCAGCGTTCAAGGGTGAGCCCGTTTCGCGAGGTCACGTTGCACGTTTCGCACGTTTTCGCTTTCCCAAGCCCCAAAGTGCCCTTGCGGGCGCGCGCGTCCGTGGCCTTCTCGCTTGCATCCTTTGGTTTTTGAGGGTCGGTGCGTCTGCTTCATTTCGGCGCGTTCCAAGGGTTTTGCAACATTGGGTCCTAGACCTCTCGTTGATTTTCTCGGATCGTGCCCCTTGATGCCCTGGCGCCATCTAGACACGAGAAAGCTCGTGCCAGATTCGCGCGCGCGCGCGCCAGGCGCACGTGACCCCCCTGTCCGCACACGTTCTGTCACTTGTGAAGGATCCGATGCCAGCTTCAGCATTAACCCTCCGGTCTTGCGCCACAGGGCCGGACGGACAAAATAAACGCCGGAAAATGACATGCTTGGCGTCGCTCGGACGTGTGCATTTTTTCTCGGCGAGGGCCATCGAGGAGGATACTGAGCCATTTCGCGAAAAAGCCACGCACGAAACCGAGAAATGCACGGGGAATGGACGTCCGAGCGATGGCAGGCATGTGGCAGCAGTGGCGCGTTGGGCAGCCACCCAGGGGAGGGCGAGGTCTCGCCCCTCTCCGCGGTCCCGCGAGCTCCGCGGGTGCTTCCCGGGGTGCAGCCAAGCTGGGAGAGTTGCGGCTGAGTTGCCTTGCGCGGCGGCACCCCAGGGATGGCGATGTCTCGGTTGGGTCCGCGTGACACCGCCCTCCGCCAGACGGCGGCGAGTCCGCGCCTGGCAGGCACAGCACGCCGCGATGAGGGGAAGAGGTGGCGGGCGAGAGGGGAGGAAGAGGAGGGGTGAATGTGAAGGGAGGAGGCGGGAGGAAGGAGGGGCGGAGGACAGAGCAGCAGCGCTCCAGTCAGCTCGAGTGCCCGACGCGAAAGGTGGGAACCGTCTGCGCTGGGTGTCTGGGGATGCGCACGGCCCTGCGGACACTGCCGGTTCTCTCAGCCTCCTCCCGCCGGCAGAAGGCGCCACAAGAAATAAACGGGACGTCGTTGCACGGAAGCACCGTTGCAGTCCCACGTTCTTGGCGCCACGGCCAGCAGAGGCGGTGATGTTGAAGCCGGTCACGGCATGCGGGCGCGTCAGAGCCACAGCGTGCGTCTGCGCGGGGCTTGCACATTGGGGGCTGTTTCGGCTGTTACTGAATTGAGCCTCTCCTTTCGGGTGTCTGTTGCCAGAGGTGTTCCTGGCCCAAGGCGTCCTTCGGATTTCCAAGGTCGGGGTCCGATTTACGGCCACCGCACCCCCGCGCGGACCTTGTGCTGGACCGGCTTGTTTGCGGGGGTGGCGCACAAAGATCGTGTCTTTGGGGGATGCCATTCTTGAATACCCCCGCTCCACGGTCTTGTGCAGGACCAGCCTGATGGTGGGGTGTGCAAACATCGCGTCCCCACAGGGAGGGCCCCACAGCTTCCAGAGCATCCCTCACGAAGCCCACAGGGCCCCTTGGGACTCCAAAGTGAGAAAAACCGGAGACACCTTGGGCCAGGGGCACCTGGCGGCGAGATCCGAACCCTACCCTCGCCCGTCCACGGTTCGGGCAACTCGATGTGCGGCGGGGTAGGGTTCGCGATTCGCCGTGCGCGCGGCGGAATCCGATTCCTACCCCCGCGCGCTTCGCCGCGGCGGCAGGAGAGCGACCTCGGCTTCCAGCCCCAGAACCCGAGGCGGCGCCACTCTCCCCCTCCTCCTCCTCCTCCTCCTCCTCCTCCTGCTCCTACTCCTCCTACTCCTCCTCCTCCTCCTGCTCCTGCTCGTGCTGCTCCTCCTCCTCCTCCTCCTCCTCCTCCTCCTCCTCCTCCTCCTTCTCGTTTCCCCTCTCCTCCTCCTCCTCCTCTCCTCCTCCTCCTCCTCCTCCTCCTCCTTTCTCCTCCTCCTCCTCCTAGTCTCCTCCTCCTCCTCCTCTCCTCCTCCTCCTCCTCTCCTCCTTCCTCCTCTCCTCCTCTCCTTCTCCTCTCCTCCTCCTCCTCCTCCCTCCTCCTTCCTCTCTTGTCCCTCCTCCTCCCCCTCTCTCTCCCCCTTTTTTTGGCCCCCCAGGCACCTGCAGCATGCTTCGCCTGTCGCCGCCGCTGGCGGATTGAGACTCGCCTCCAGTGCGCTCAAGCTATGACCTTAACCCCCTCCCCCTCCTCCTTCTCCTCCTCCTCCTCCTCCTCCTCCGCCTGCTCCTCGTCTCAACCTGAACCTCAACCTTAACCTCAACCTTAACCTCCCCATCCTCCTCGTCCCCCTCCGCGCGCGCGCTCGGGGGACTCCCAGGGAGGCCTCGGCGCCCGATCGACAGGGGCCCACCCCGCCCGGGACGGAAAGGACTTGCTTCCGGGGCCCGTCGCACAGCGATCGACGATGTGCAGTGGAGGCCCATGCCAAGGAACACCCTGCTTGCCTCCAGGGTGCCCTGGGTGTCCTGGGTTTCGATGGTTTTGCCATCTAAAGCGTGACGTTCCCAAGCCAAAAATCCATGGACGTCCTGGGGTCTCAGGTTTGGGTTTCTTGTGAGAGGTTTCTTGTGGACTGACCTCCGCTGTACAGCAGACTCCAGATCGATGTTTCTCCCCCCGAGCCACTCCACCCCCCCTGCCTGGACATCCCCCCCCGCGCAGATCGAGGACCGAGGATGTGGGAGAATCGAGGCGTATGGGTGTGTGTGTGTGTGAGTGTGTGTGTGTGTGTGTGTTTGCATGTGTGTGAATGTGTGTGTGTGTGTGTGCGTTTGTGTGTGTGTGCGTGTGTGTGTGCGTGTGTGTGCGTGTGCGTGCGTGCGCGCGCGTGCGTGCGTGCGTGCGCGCGCGCGTGCGTGCGTGCGTGCGTGCGTGCGTGCGCGCGCGTGCGTGCGTGCGTGCGTGCGTGCGTGCGTGCGCGTGCGTGCGTGCGTGCGTGCGTGCGTGTGTTGAGTTGTGTGTGTGTGTGTGTTTGGGTGTGTGGGTGGGTGTGTGGGTGTGTGTGTGTGGATATGTGTGTGTATGGATGTGCTTGGTGCCACTCGTGCAGCCGCCCACGGCGCCCCCCGTGCCCGCGGGGCGGGGTCCGCCCCGAGCTGCCTGGCCGGAGCGCATCCCGGGGCAGCTGCGGTCGGCGAAGGAGGGCAGCGGAGGGGGAACGTGAGGCGCGTGTTTCGGACGGGGCTACGTAGCCCAGACCCCCTCGAGCAATGAAAAGATCATGGCGGTGGGTGTTCTACATTTTCGGTTCCTGGGGACCCGTCCCGGGCCGCGGGGCCGTCCAGAAACGACTCGGGATGACAAACGGGTTCCGGGGAATGGGTCGAGACCCCCTGCGGAGTCGACGTCATGGAAAAGTCATGACGTCGGGGATCTGGGAAGGCTGGGATAAATCATTCCAGAGCGTTCTGGATCGCTCTCAGGGTGCTCCGCATCGCTCTGGAACGACCGCGGCGCCCAGTACATCTTTCGAGGTCCCCGATGTCTGTCGATCCCATCGCCTCCATGTCTCGGCTTCGCAATGAGGGGTGAAAATAGGTGTACCTGTCGAGCGCCCTTGGGGGCCAGGGTGGCGGCCACTCTCCTGCACCCCAGCTGCCCCCCACGCTGATTGCCCCCTGTGATCTTCCGCTCGAGTTTCAGAGGGGGCGATTCTTCTGCCTCACAGTCGTGATGCGCTCGCTTGTTCCGCGACACAGTCGTGAGGCATTCCGCTTCTGCTTCACAGTCGGGTCTGTGCGGGGTGGTCAGAACCCTACCCTGCGGGTTCAATCGACGCTGGTGTGTCGGACACCGCTGCTCGGAGTCGCTTGGCTTCGAACATCCTCCGAGTTCTGAGCCCCGGCCAGCGTGTTAGGAATTTCACCTGCACGGACTCGATTTTTGTGTTACTGCGGGGTTCCTGGCAGTCCCGACCCTTCCCCCAGGGCTAGCGTTTCACCGCGAGTCGTTCTGTTGGCGGTCCCCGGGCTCGATGAGGAGCCCCATGGCCCAAAAACGGAGGACAAACCCCCGTTCCGAGTTTTTCGAGACGCGAGCATGTCTGGGCAGGGTTCACACGTGGTTGATTGCCTTGGGTCGTTAAGTGCTTAACGACTCGTGCACTTCGACTCTTAGACTATGAAAAAACAAAACCTGCAAATTACCATTTTTGTTGTAGAATTTTCCCAGATCATCTGGGATTTTAGCGAAAAATATTGATATATGGTGCTTGTTTATCTAGATTTCTTTGGTTTGTCCTTCGCATTCCTTGAAATGTCTGTGAAAATATCATCGCATTTGCCCCGTCGTAGCCAGTTCAACTGTTATTGTGTCGTTGTTGTCGCCCGTTGACTGCCATTGCATTGTATCACCACTGGGCGTCTTTGGGGCCTCTTGGCGGTGCAGGGGGCCACTTTTGCGTACCTCGGGGAGCCTCTTAGGGCCTCTTGGGGGTCTTTTGGGAGCATCTTGAAAGGCTTCTTGGGGGTCTCTTGGGGGTCTCTGGGGAGCCTCTTAGGGCCTCTTGGGAGCCTCTTAGGGCCTCTTAGGAGCCTCTTAGGGCCTCTTAGGGTCTCTTGGGGGTCTCTTGAAAGGCTTCGTGGGGCCTCTTGAGGGGCCTCTTAGGGCCTCGTGGGGGTCTCTTGGTGGTCTCTAGGGCTCTTCTTGGGCCTCTTGGGAGCCTCTTAGGGCCTCTTGGGTGTCTTTTGGGAGCATCTTGAAAGGCTTCTTGGGGGTCTCTTGGGGGTCTCTGGGGAGCCTCTTAGGGCCTCTTGGGAGCCTCTTAGGGCCTCTTAGGAGCCTCTTAGGGCCTCTTAGGGTCTCTTGGGGGTCTCTTGAAAGGCTTCGTGGGGCCTCTTGAGGGGCCTCTTAGGGCATCGTGGTGGTCTCTTGGTGGTCTATTGGGAGCCTCTTGGGCCTCTTGTGAGCCTGTTAGGGCCTCTTGGGGGTCTCTTGGGGGTCACTTGGGAGCCTCTTGGGCCTCTTGGGAGCCTCTTAGGGCCTCTTGGGAGCCTCTTAAGGGCCTCTTGGCGGTCTCTTGGTGGTCTCTTGTGAGCCTCTTGGGCCTCTTGGGAGCCTCTTAGGGCCTCTTGGGAGCCTCTTCGGGCCTCTTGGGGGCACCTTGGTGGTATATTGGGAGCCTCTTGGGAGCCTCTTAAGGGTCTCTTGGGGGGTCTCTTGGGGGTCTCTTGGGAGCCTCTTAGGGCCTCTTGGGAGCCTCTTAGGGCCTCTTGGGAGCCTCTTAGGGCCTCTTAGGGTCTCTTGGGGGTCTCTTGAAAGGCTTCGTAGGCCCCCTTGGGAGCCTCTTAGGGCCTCTTGGGGGTCTCTTGGGGGGCCCCACAATGACGATGGATATGGTGATGGCGGTCTCTTGGGGGTCTCTTGGGGGTCTCTTGAAAGGCTTCTTAGGGCCTCTTTGGAGCCTCTTTGGGCATCTTGGGAGCCTCTTGGGCCTCTTGGGAGCCTCTTAGGGCCTCTTAGGGTCTCTGGGTGGTCTCTTGAAAGGCTTATTAGGGCCTCTTTGGAGCCTCTCAGGGCCTCTTGGGGGTCTCTTGGGGGGGCCCCACAATGCGGATGTCGATGATAGTTTCGATGGCGATCGATGACCGCTTTGTCTGATCGATGGCCGCCCTTGCTCTTTAATCAGACCAGTGCTGCTTCGACAGGGTCCCAGAGCTCAGCTCTCTTGCTATCAAGCTGAGCGTCGCTCAACAGTTCGTGGGGCGGGCCAGCCTTTCTGAACAGTCGCATGTGCGATTTTCGATCAGATCCCGCTGGTGGCCCATCAATACACCATTGTTTGATTTTGCGCACAACCTGTTCGGACGTCAATCCCAAACCAGATCCTCTGCCTATTGTTATTTCTTTTGTGCAGTAGAGGAATCCAGTGCCACAAGACGATGGTTCCCTTGGGTGGTAAGGGCACCTGACAAACCAACTTCCCATATGCGTTGCGCTCTCCACGCGCTCTGTAATGGCAAATTTCCCCCAATGGAAACCATGAGGCCCAATAGCTGGCATTGGTGGCGGTGCGAAAGCAAGTGGTGGCACTGGGGGCTCGGGGGGCGCGGGGGGCCCAGGAGCCGCTGGGGCGTCGGGAGGGGCTGGGTGCCCTTCGTCCTCCGACTCCTCCAGGGGCGGGGCTTCGGCGCCTCGCCCCCGCCCTCTCCCCCGCCCCCGCCCTCGCCCTCTGCCTCTCCCTCGGGCATTCGCCATCCGCACCCTGATCGCAATGGTCTGTGCCCTGCGCTTCTGTTTAGCAATCGCTTGCTTGAAGTCTTTAAATCCACTCGCCTCTCTTGGCGTGAAATGTCTGAAAGGATGATCTGTCCACCCCCCCCCCCCCCCCAGAGCTTCCTTCGGGGAGGGGCTCCGCCTGCCCCTATCCCTGGGCCCATGCGTATATACACACATACATACATACATGCATACATACATACATACATACACACATACATACATACATACAGCCAGACAGGCAGGCAAGCAGACAGACAGACAGACAGACAGACAGACAGACATACAGTTGCACACATGTAGATGCATACATGCATACATACATACGTGCATACATACATATACGCATGGATGCATACATATGTGCGTGCACATGCATACACACATGAGTATACATATATGTGTGTATGCATCCTGGTCTACATATACATATATATGTACGCGCTCACATACCATAAATAGTCATGCACTGCATACCATTACACACCATACCATAAAGTAATATATCA